TTATGGTTAGCGTGCAAAGAAGCAGGTCGAATTTTGCATTATGACCAAATTCGTCATCTCAATTAGCTAACAGGTAAGCTCGATAATGATTCATGCCTTTGGAATTATTTTTCGAATAACTTTTCAGTGTCTAGCTGGTGTATCTGAATTCCTCTTCATAAAGTGACACTTTCAGATCATTGTGGTTTGTGCAGCTGATGAGGTGGTGTTTGGAGAATTTCGAACATTCGATTACCGTCGATTTCTTGTTCATTTGGAATATTTTCAGAATCGTTGGTGTTATAAATAAAGATCAGTGGTGCGATGTCGAGCCAAGTGGACAGCACCCCATGTGCGCATATCAACCCGAATATATTTCAACTAGAGAAAAAACCAAAAGTGAGTTCTGTAAAATTGCTGTTTTCATCGGTCTAAATATCTCAGTTTTTTCACTTATGAGCTATAATTTTAATGAGTTAAATAAACTGATGGTGAAATGTTTGTAGCATGTGCTGTGCCACGAAATCGGTGCTGGTTCGCCGTGTCTGAAATGTGATTGTACTGGTCTTGATCTACATTTTTGGAGGTACGAGTTTCCTTGCTTTTAGCGTTTTCATTCATCTTAGCATTTGAATGATTCTTAAGATTTTGTTATCTCTAAAAGCACACGAGTGTTTTATTATTTGTGAACTTTTCACATTCTTTTCATAGCAAAAGTGCTCACTGTAATAATTTTCTGAAAGTTCGTTTCAATTTACGGTGCATAAATAAGTGAACAATGATGTGATGTGTTCTTATCATATCAGCTAACATTTTTCGTGTAATGTTTACTTTGGCATTTGTGTATCAGTATGAAGAATTATCATATGCTTGTAAGTGAATATAAACTATCAAACGTATAAAGTAGCAGCAGTGATGTATCATCAAAGTTACTATACGAGGAGTATGGTTTACAGAAAAATATGCAAGGTTTGTTCATGTCGAATGGACGATCATGACATTATTGCACCAGAAATGGATCATGGAAAAATCATTATTGGTTGGTTTTTTCCGGATGATTTTTTTCTCGATTTTCTGGATGATCTTTTGAAACTGTTTGCTGTTTTGATAATATTCCTGTAAATATAATATCGCTGCCTTTATTTTTTACTGATGTGATATTATTTCTTTAATTACAATGATGTCAGTTTTCAGGACGTCTATTCGACTTCATACCAGCTTTTGAACGGAAATTAAACCTGTCACCATCTGCAAGCGGCATACCCTCTCCACCAAGATGTGGCTCATCTCTGTCACCGAAACCTCCCTCAGATCCTTCACTCAAGGTCTAATTATTATCATTATTATCGCTATTTCTTATTAATGTTATTGTCACTGTTCATTATCTAATATTGTTGCAGTTATCTATTGCTCTCATAATTATCATTGCAGAAAGCCATCCCAGATTCGATGTTCAACGTGCGGGTAGAAGAGGGCGTAGAGAAGGATAAAGTGGTGACCGAATACGCGTGGATCCCGACCACAGATCGGATTTTAGCAGACAAATATTTTTTCGCGCTCCCGGAAAATGAACGTCCAATTGTGGGAACAGAAGGTGCGGTGAATCGTCGACAGAAACTTCAATATCAGGTCAGTCGGTTTGCTGCGATACTCTTGTTTTGTGATCTTAAACATATGAAATTGACTGATGGAAGTCAGATTCTATGTTCAGCATGCATTTAATTGTCTCGGTTGTCAAGAGTTCATGGTGATTCGAGTTCATTTTGGTGGGTTAAGGTTTTCGATTTATAGCTTCCGCATCACGATACGGATATAACGGCAGCAAAATCTATCAAAAGTGATGAGGATCGTCAGCAACATGCGAAATATTTGAATACACTGAAAGAAAAGGTTGGAATGTTTGTTGAATTTGTTGTTACTTTCAACAATGAATTTTTATTTGATGAAGGGATGTTTTCAAGGATTTTAAATAATTCGCAAAAAGTTTTCACTTTTCTATACTAATCCATTTTTTTCTCTCATGTAAGGTAGTTGGAGTTGGTCAATTGATAGAATGGAGCAACGACGCAAATTCCGCAAACTCAAAATCGATGTCGGATAAAAGCAATGCTAAAAACAACAAAGAATGGGCGCAAAGTGCACAGAATCAAAAGGAAAATTTGAATATCATGCAGGACATTGTAAGTTTGTGACGTTTTACGTTATATGAACTGGAATTGACTTATTCTATGATTCAGTGAATGAATTACAAGAAGTCTTTTGTTGCAGCGATGTCAAGCGTGCAGCAAGAAAATGAATATTGGTGATGTGGCGATCGTGACCGATCACGGAAAACCGAATGTGAGTACCGTTTTTATCACGTTTTCGGAATTTGTTCACAAGATTTGAAGATATTTTATTGGTCAGGAATTAATTTTGAAATTTTTGATGGGAGATTGGTATTATAGGAGGTATGGCATCCGAATTGTTTCCGTTGTCATACGTGTAATCAACGTTTAGTCGATATGCTGTACTTCTACAAGGATGGTATCTATTATTGTGGACGACATTTCGGCGATTCCATGTATCCACGGTGTTCCGGATGTGATGAGGTTTGTGTTCAAGAGATTTATTGCTTACAAGTTGTTTGATTGGTTGACGATGACAAATAATCTTCATTTACAATCAGCCATGTATTATTGTTTGTGGTTTCTGGGTCGCGGAATATGAAATTTCGGATTTTTGGACGAGATTAATTTGAATACAATGAAATATCTTGATGAAGTATCTGTAATTTAGTTGATATTCTCAAAAGAGTACACATATGCCGAGGAGAAGAACTGGCATTTCGATCACTTTTGTTGTTTTGGATGTGATAAACAGTTGGGTGGACATCGTTACATGATGCGCGACGAGCAGCCGTTTTGTTTCGGGTGCTACATGAAGAAATTCGCTAGGGTAATTTCACTTTTTGATGAATTCCGTAATGATTTTCATTCGTTCCAAGAATGATGAAATCCTTAATGATTGTTTTTGAATTTATTCACAAATTTTCAAGAAGTGTTTATGAATGTGGGATTTTTTGTGTCTTATCATTTGATGTTTATGTTTTTTGAATGAATTTTCATCATTTTGAATTGGAATATTCTCGGGAAAGGCATTGTTTAACCAGTGGTTAAACAGTTTTGTCTGTTATCCATTATTCAGTGGATTTGGTAACAACGGCCATTTCGCCAGCCGCTGTGTATTGTTGGCATTGCGTTGTTAAAAATTGAATTTTTCACTGAATTTGCGTATTTCTAGACGTGTCACTCATGTGGAAATAAGATTGCACCAGATCAACAGCGAATCTCGTTCAAGGATTTGCATTGGCATGCTATGGAAGCATGTTTCCAGTGAGTTTTGTAGTTTGCATACAAAATTTTGGTAATTTTGTGAACATCTTTCGTGAATATTTTCATCTTTCATGCAAAATTTTGATCGAGTGAATATAAGAAAGTATCTGTGTAATTTATGAGACCAGTGATTCGATTAGGGTGTGGATATGGGGTATATTCGAGTGTATAATTTTTTGGAGAAGTTATTAATATGTCAATGAATGTATGAAGAATGAGATTACTAAATATTTTAATGTAATTTTTTTCAGATGCAAAAGTTGCGGTAAAGTGTTATTAAATCAAAAATTTATAACGAAAAACAATGAGGTGTTTTGTAGTAGTGAATGTAAAAGGAAATATAATTTGTAATCGTTCGAAAATACTTTAATGCGTCATTTATGTGTTTGTATGCTTGACATTCTATATTGATGTAGTTTATATTCAGAGTTATCGTTATGATTATTATGTCTCTCGCATTGTTATTATTCGTTTAACGTGGTTATTCTTTATAATCATTGGTAGTCTTAATGGCTTAATATTTTATTGTTTCTTTTTTTTGAATTTAAGCATAGATTGATTGTAGCTTATGTTTGTTGTAATGATGTCTTTTATTCGGAGTTTATTTCATCCATGTTTCAGCTTCGAAATTTATTTTATTGTTCCTGAGAGGTATGTTTGATTTCACTTCGCTCAGATGATCTTTTCTGCAACTGTTCGCTTTCATAATTTTCACATTCCTCTGAAATGATACGTTTTCACTTGGTGAAATATTTCATTTTAATTGATTTCCTCGTTCGTTTGCTAGTTTTCACTTGTTTCATCTTTTTTTGTATGATCTTGCTGTCGGATATGGCATAAAGGCCAGTACCGCTTTTATTATTGTGTAAGTATGTTTGACTATTATTGTTTCATATGACGATTATTTGCGTATTGCGTGTTTTGAAATTATTATTATCGTTATTACTCTCGTTATTATTGATGTTATTGTTAGGATTATTTTGTTGTGGTTTTTATTATCCGTAAACCTCAAGGAATCCCAAATCTACGCACGTCGTAAGCTCTCTTCCCATCTTTCTGAACTCTATGCCAGTGCAAGCTTTCTTGTCTATTCTCGATGTTCTCTATCATGTTTCAGCGTTATCCATCTCAGCTCGAGGCTAAGCCTCATTCATATGTACGAGTATGCAATACTCTGATAGATGCCCTGACTTAGCAATGGCGTTTGACCGACGCTGGGTCGGAAAAATGTGACAAATTTCGGTTGGAATTCTGAAAATCGAAATATTTAAAAGTCGATTCTGTCGGACTCCGACCGAAGTGAAATTTCGTTCGGATGCCATCAGTAAGTTGGTGTATGTTTTTAGATTATTGTTTCATTTTGTACAATCTTCTTGCCTAGTATAACAAGCGAGTTTATTTATTTGCGATGATCTGTAAAGTGATATGCCGTTATGTTCTCAAATTTATAACCTTTCATATGCACTTATCATTATTCCCATTATATTATCACTTCTATCATTGATTGGCATTGATATTCTATCAGTACGTTTATTGGTATTCAATAGTTCTACTGAAATATCTATCTGTCAATATTCCATTAAAT